ATTACTTAACTGATTTGTACTTCTTCATTCCTTATCACTTAACTGATTTGTACTTCTTCATTCCCTATTACTTAACTGATTTGTACTTCTTCATTCCCTATTACTTAACTGATTTGTACTTCTTCATTCCCTATTACTTAACTGATTTGTACTTCTTCATTCCCTATTACTTAACTGATTTGTACTTCTTCATTCCCTATTACTTAACTGATTTGTACTTCTTCATTCCCTATTACTTAACTGATTTGTACTTCTTCGGGGCAATAACTGTGTAAAGAAAGCACTGATCATTAGTAACAGACAGGGTGATTCCCCATAATGATGAGTTTATGCTTAAATTATTTTGTGTTTTGGTTGTGTCTGAAGTCCCCAGGCGTTATCATGGACCTCGTCTGGGTTTGTTAAACAACTTTTCCCCTCAATGTGTCTAGTTTACTCTTTGGAAGTGTTGTGATGTAACCATTTCAGGGCTTGCGACAATACCTCGGCGTCGTTTCTTATGTTTGTTGTACGCGCTCAACATCTGTTGTTTGTTGTACGCGCTCAACATCTGTAACATTAACACTGGCAGTTATTGCATGGGGTTATAGAGTCACATTTTGCATTACGACAACGTACTGTGTACCTCGTATTGAGGACAGTTTTCGTTTTGAAAGGTTGGCACTGATTTCCTTTGGGTATTTCTGATCTACTAAAGATGGTCTAATGAATTCTAGATCGCTCGCTATGTTATCATTGAAGCTTTCACTAAAGTCGGAATAATCTTAACCCTTTCATGTATTACTTTGCTGCTGTGAATGTTTGCTCAACAATGGTCTATAGTACGGGTGGGTTCATAATTTCTGTCTAATCCAGACAGACCTCATTCTCTACGGGTCAAAAGTTACTGTCTTTCACCTTCTTGTTTTAAAAGTACATGTACTATTTTCTTTGCTTTGGATTTCTAGTAATTTAGCTGATATTTCTGTGGATACTCTTTTCGCCTAGTAGTTTAGCTGATATTTCTGTGGATACTCTTTTCGCCTAGTAATTTAGCTGATATATCTGTGGATACTCTTTTCGCCATCTAAGAAAGAATGGAACATTTACCTGTCACAAACATAATCAAACTTAAAAAAAAAAGTTAAAACAATAGTTTTCCTTTATGATGAAATTTAAGAATTCCAGATTCTGTGGTGCATAGCATCAATACTTCATTGTACTTCATTTTAATGTGAGGACGAAGTAATTTGAATTCCCCTTACTTTGTTTTGAAGCTATCCTCTGGTATTTTGAAATAATATATGAATGCAACACAAAGATATGAAGAGTAACAACAGTTACCTTTTAGTCCCAAACGGTTTTATTTGAAAAACAAATACGTTGATGGACGTTGAATATTTTATAATCTATAAACACAAAATATAAATAAATTGTATAAACAAAAAGTTGCAGATGCCCCCTGGAGTACTCTTTTTTAAACCCTATCCGTACGCCCTGGGGGTCATTTTGTACCCCGGGGTTGTATTCTTCACATTTTAGAATACTTCTAGTTCGAAGATCTCTTTGAAACTTTCAGTATTTCCTCAAACAATCATTTTGACAGACTGCTCTGCAAAGAGTACGGATCGGATTAACAAGTAAATTTCCTCTTTGGAAAGAGGAGGCACAGAGTTCCCCACGTCGTATGGATACGATAGTAAAACACGACGTACGGATAGGGTTAAGTGGTGGCACAGAGT